CATTTCGAAAGTGTGCTGAAGCAATCTGAACTTGGGAAGAAGGATTAGGTTTATTGAGTGAACGATTCCAAAGATTACTCTTTTCAAGTCACTTTCTCAATTAGAACAAAAACATATGTGGCGTATTAACACATGTCGCCCCTTTCTCGGACGCTTTGCGCCTGTATATGAGTACGCAGTAATATATAGATCTACTACTATGTATCCTACATGAAATCGGTGGCCGAAATATGCCAACAAACTAAATTATATTGTTTTAAATCTGGTTTGAGTCAAGAACATCAATTTTTTTTTGTATTATGGTTACAATAGAGAGCTCGTGCTTCAACGCGTGCCAATAATCTCGACCAAATTCATCGGACTATTTTCCTGCATCACATCAAAAATCTTTGATAAGTGAGTGAAAACATAATAAGGTTTCCTTAGCCTCGTTAATTAAGATCAATCCTTTTTCAGTCATAAATAACATTCATTATTTAAAAGTCAATTGTATTTGATTGAACAACTCGTGAAGTCTCAAAAGTTAAAATCAATGAAAAAAATATTTGATAAGTGAGTGAAAACATATTAAGGTTTCCTTAGCCTCGTTAATTAAGATAAATCCTTTTTCAGTCATAAATAACATTCATTATTTAAAAGTCAATTACATTTTATTGAACATTAGTGGACATCAACACGAATTTAATAATCAAAGGGGGATAATTCCAACTGTCAGTCAATATCGCCTCTCTAATCAGACCAATTTACTCCCACCTCATGTGTCTTCAAGACACTGATGTACTTCCGCTTTATATGGAAACTTACGAAAAACATCGTGTATTCAGACACCCTGTTTAATCTGACAGAAAGGGCTAGTCACATAGGGTGTTATTTTAGACAGGTTTCGTTCGATATGTTTCGAATATAATATTGTTTATCTATTGACTCGTGTGTGTAGCATCAACTCGTGTAACACATGTGTGTAGAGTCAACTTTCAAGTAAATCTAGTGTTAATCTCAGCTCTCGTAAAACTCACATGTGTAAACCTGACTATCATGTGACTCCTGTGCTAGCCTCAACACTCACGTGTGTAGACTCAACGTTCGAGTAAATCATACGTAATGCCTCATACAGCTCCAGAGTATCCCTTTATAGCCTACACTTTCGTGTAACTCATGTGTAATGTTTCAACTCTCGTATAACTCGCGTATAATACTCCAACTCTCGTATAACCCATGTGTAATGCTTCACCTCTCGTATAATTCGCGTGTCATGTTTCAGCTCTCGTATAACTCCTGTATCATGTTTCAACTCTCGTGTGACTCGTGTTTAATGCTTCAACTCACGTAAAACTCACGTGATACACTTTAACTCTCGTATAACTCGTGTGTCATGTTTCAACTCTTGTTTAAAACGCGTGTAATGTTTCAGGTCTCGTACAACTCGTGTGTAATGCTTCAACTCACGTATAACTCGCGTGAAATGCTTCACCTCACGTATAACTCGCGTAAAATGCTTCAACTCTCGTATAACTAGTGTATAATGTTTCAACTTTAGTATAACTCGCGTGTAATGTTTCAACTCTCGTATAAATCTCGCATGTAACCCGTACTATCATTTAATTGATACGTGTATATCTTTAACCCGCGTTTAATAGATACGTATAGCCTCCACGTAATTGTCACTCGCGTGTTACGCCACAACTAGGGTGTAATTGACATGTGTAGTCTCAGCGGTCACGTGTAGCGTCAACTCGTGTTAAATGGCAGACTCCGTTATCGACCAGCTTGTCGCGTGTAGCTATAAATAAGTCACTAGTGCTAGGCAGACACGAATTGATTTTCAAGAGGAGCAACTCGAGCAGATTCATCAAAATAGCTCAAATGTCGAAGTCATGGAGAGGGACAGAAATCCATGCACTGTTCAAAAGGGTTTATTGTATAGAGACAACTCAATGCACTGCTGGTTTGTGTAGGAGTAAAATCATGCACTCTTGATAAATATGTAAGAACACATATCCGTGTGTGCTACATGTGAAGGTGTGATAAGAGAAACAGAACCAGACACTGCTCTGTTATGAGGGAGAAACAAAACCAGGCACTGTTGATAAGGGTCTGTTGTAGGGAAAACAAAACCAGGCACTGTTGATAAGGGTCTGTTGTAGGAAAAACAAAACCAGGCACTGTTGATAAGGGTCTGTTGTAGGAGAAACAAAACCAGGCACTACTTATAAGGATCTGTTGTAGGGAAAACAAAACCAGGCACTGTTGATAAGGGTCTGTTGTAGGGAAAACAAAACCAGGCCCTGTTGATAAGGGTCTGTTGTAGGGAAAACAAAACCAGGCACTGCTGATAAGGGTCTGTTGTAGGGAAAAACAAAACAAGGCACTACTTATAAGGGTCTGTTGTAGGTAAAACAAAACCAGGCACTGTTGATAAGGGTCTGTTGTAGGGAAAAACCAAACCAGGCACTGTTGATAAAGGTCTGTTGTAGGGAGAAACAAAACCAGGCACTACTTATAAGGGTCTGTTGTAGGGAAAACAAACCCAGGCACTGTTGATAAGGGTCTGTTGTAGGGAGAAACAAAACCAGGCACTGTTGATAAGGATCTGTTGTAGGGAGAAACAAAACTAGGCACTACTTATAAGGGTCTGTTATAGGGAAAAACAAAACCAGGCACTACTTATAAGGGTCTGTTGTAGGGAAAACAAAACCAGACACTGTTGATAAGGATCTGTTGTGGGGAGAAACAAAACCAGGCACTGTTGATAAGGATCTGTTGTAGGGAGAAACAAAACCAGGAACTGTTGATAAGGATCTGTTGTAGGGAGAAACAAAACCAGGCACTGTTGATAAGGATCTGTTGTGAGGAGAGAAAAAAACCAGGCACTGTTGATAAGGATCTGTTGAAGGAAGAAACAAAACCAGGCACTGTTGATAAGGATCTGTTGTAGGGAGAAACAAAACCAGGCACTGTTGATAAGGATCTGTTGTGAGGAGAGAAAAAAACCAGGCCCTGTTGATAAGGATCTGTTGTAGGGAAAAACAAAACCAGGAACTGTTGATAAGGGTCTGTTGTAGGGAAAACAAAACCAGGCACTGTTGATAGAGGTCTGTTATAGGGAGAAACAAAACAAGGCACTACTTATAAGGGTCTGTTATAGGGAAAAACAAAACCAGGCAATACTTATAAGGGTCTGTTGTAGGGAAAACAAAACCAGGCACTGTTGATAAGGGTCTGTTATAGGGAGAAACAAAACCAAGCACTGTTGATAAGGGTCTGTTGTAGGGAAAACAAAACCAGGCACTGTTAATAAGGGTCTGTTGTGGGGAGAAACAAAACCAGGCACTGTTGATAAGGATCTGTTGTAGGGAGAAACAAAACCAGGCACTGTTGATACGGGTCTGTTGTGGGGAGAAACAAAACCAGGCACTGTTGATAAGGATCTGTTGAAGGAAGAAACAAAACCAGGCACTGTTGATAAGGGTCTGTTATAGGGAAAAACAAAACCAGGCAATAGTTATAAGGGACTGTTGTAGGGAAAACAAAACCAGGCACTGTTGATAAGGGTCTGTTTTAGGGATAAACAAAACCAGATACTGTTGATAAGGGTCTGTTGTAGGGAAAACAAAACCAGGCACTGTTGATAAGGGTCTGTTGT